ATGGAATAGATTAAGACAGGTAGACTGAGCTAAATGAGAATAAGAATAAGAGGCGAGAGAGAGAGAGAGATGAATGAAAGGAGAGAGAGAGAGAGAAGGAGAGGAGAGAGAGAGAGAGAGGAAAAAGAGTGAGACGAGGAGCGAGCGAGCGAGAGCAAGAAAAAGCAGAGGCCACGTGGTGAAAGATGAAAAAGTATGACGTATGGTGTGATTGCAGAGCGTTTTACCTGTTGAGTACATTGTTCTGTCAAAACAATTACAATTATATTGAATCACTTGTGCTAGGGCCGTGTTATGAGAATAGTAAGTCAATGTGAGCATTTAGTCCTTGGTCTAATCGCAACAGGGTTGCAGAGCCATTGATGAAACTATTTACCGTGATTTTTTTTTTCTCAAAGGATTGGTACAATGAAAGAAGAGTTCTCACAAGAAATTACTAACTTTAATATATGAACAAAGAATCTAAATGAAATATAAATGAAAGATAAGAGTGTTCTTTTACGATTGATGAGATAACGGAGGTTACTAACGAAGGGGAACTGAGGTATTTTATAGATTCTCTCAAACTCGCAAACCAACCTTACTCAGAAAATCACATTAAGAGTAAGACATGTTTGATTAATTGATTTTTTTTTTTTTTTTTTTTTTTTTTTTTAGAATTACGTTATTAAGGCATATGTAATAGAAAATCAAAGTTCCCTTTTCAATTTCTAAGAACAAGTGATATTAGGCCAGAGTGGGGAACAAGATCGGAGGGGTTGTAGTAATGAATGGGTGGATGGAGTATAGATTGGTGTAATGATATTCGCAAGAAGAGCACGGAAGATTGGAGTAGGTGATAAGAGAGTAGCTGTGGATGGAGAATAGCTTTATAAGTACGGAAGATAATATTAAGATAGGGCGTAGAAGAGGATGAGGCGCAGCGGGGTGTTATTGAGTACGATGTGCAACTTGGATGATTTATGATGTATAGGAAGATATAAAAAAGTGTGAATGAAAGGTAAAAATGTTATTAAGGGATATGTTGAATGAATGTTTTCTGTTGAACGATATGTAATTTAGCATGCTACACACACGACACTACGCGCACGACTCGAGACGACAATACAAAGAGGCACACAGACAAGACTAAACGAACAGCGGAGGAAAAGATGGGAGACAAGCACGACACACTCACGAAATGAATAATATATAGGTGGGATTTAGGAGATAATAATTAAAGTATGATAGAGATAGATATTATGATGATGGGAAATAAAATATGAATTATGGAGTGATAATATGAATAGTATATATGATGATGGATTGGAGAATAATATATATAGAATTAGAGTAGCAGTTGATTAAGGTAGACATGGTTATGAAAATGCACAGGCGCATGAGAGGATACACAGAACATATATATATATAGTATATCATAATATATTTATAATATATATATATATATATATTATATATATAATATATATATAGAGAAAGATAGGTGTAGGTAATTATATGTATATATATATAGTATATCAGTAATATTAAATATAGATAATATATATAGTAGGTATAATATCATATAGTAATATTGCAATAATATAATATAGTGATGATGGTATAGATTAATAGATATAATATATAGGGTATAAGTATAACGTAGTATATATTGTGATATGCTATAGGAAATAAGTAATAAGTAGTGTAATGGTAATGATAGTGAGTATGTATGTGGTGTGTGTGTGTGACGGTAGTAAATGAGTGGAATGAAATATAATTATAGATATGTGATAATAGGAAAATAGAGAAATGTAAGGCGAATTTGTAAATTAGGATATATAGAGAGAAAAATACTAGATAATGGTACAATAGAGGATATATTGAATGAGATTAAGATGGATGAGTATTGGATAATAATGAGAGAAATATAGAGAGAAGAATCGATGGATATAGGTAATAGAGACATATAGTATGATTAGTAAGAATAGTATATAGTAGAAGGAATATATAAGTATATATAGAATGAGATTATAGTGTATAAATAGGTAATAAGGAAGGGATGGAAAAATAGAAATGGATGGAAGGATAGAGTGGAATTAAATCCTGGGGCCGATAGGCAAGCCGAAGCCAGGAAATTAAAGAATAATTGGGAGATTTCTTAGGGATTCGTGTTAAGTAGATTGACTTTTAAGTAAGTAAGGTAGGTGTGTAAGTAAGTAAGTTAGGGGGATGACATAGGTTTTAAGTTTAAAAACACAGATTAGAAAAGATTAGATGGATAAGACAGAAATACATACAGATAGCTAGATGACCAATAATATAGATATAGTATAGATAATACATTATAGATACGATACATATAATAGTATACGGATAGATACCAGTAATGAGATGAATGGATATAGATCAGGTATATATATATAAGTATAATATAGTAATGTAGAGTATAGATATGTGTTAGAGTAGGTAATGAATTAATAAGAATAGACGGTATGGTAAAATATCGATATAATCAGACTCACAGATATAGTATATAATGTTAAAATAATGGATAGATAATGACAGGTAATGAAGTATGAAGTATTAAATATAATAGATTAAGATAGATAAGAGCGATAGAGATAGAGATAAGATAAGATAAGAGATAAAGATAGATGTAGTAAGAGAAGTATAAATAGATAGAGTATATACTAAGATAGTATATATACAGATATATAGATGAAAGTAAGAGAGAGATAAAAAGAGTGAGAAGAGAGCGAGCGAGCGAGAGAGAGAGAGAAGAAAGAGAGTAAAGAGAGTAATATAGTATTATATAGAAATACATATAAGTAATAATTATAGAGATAGTATAGAAGTACTATGTATAGTAACATAGATAGGATAAGCTAGAAGTATATATTACTATATTAGTAATACTGTATATATTAAATATAGAATGTAGTATAACGTATAGTGGTAGTGCATGTAAGTGAATGGAATGTGTACAGTAATCCTATTATAACAGTCTATATATTGTATAGATATTATACATCAGTTCAAGAACGTAAAATAATTATGCAAGTAAGGTTAATATTAATTTCAATCTAGATGTACACACGAGGCACGTGTGTGTGTTGTGGTGTGTAGTGTGTGATGTGAGAGTGTGGTAGATTGTGTGTGTGGAGTAATGTGTAAATGGAATGGTGTGTGTTGTGGTGTGTGGATGTGTGGTGTGGTTAGTGTGATGATGAAGGTACGCGGTGGAATTTCACGTGGTGTGGGTAGTGATGTGATGTGTGTTGTGGTGTATGTTGGTGAGCTTCGAAGATCGTGCGTGTGCTGTGTGTATGTCTGGTGTTGTGTGTGTGTGTGAGTGTGTTGTGTATAATAAAAGTTTACGTAAAGTATTGTCCCCCAGAGGAAGAGTCTGCGTAAGTGTGGTTGTGTTGTGTCGTGTCAGTTCGATATTAACTTG